CCCCCAGCACAGAGTCCCCTCTGCTCCTGCCCCTCCTCCCTACCCTGCACAGGGTCCCCTCTGCTCCTGCCCCTCCTCCCACCCCCTGCAGTGGGTCCCCCTCTGCTCGGGTCCCCAGGCTGCCCCTCCCCCTTTTCCCTCCTCGCTGGGCGCCTGGGTGGAATTCCCAGCTATCTGTGTTCAGTGAAGGGACAACCAGCCTCACAGGACAGGGACCAGAGGGGACAAGATGTAGGAGCTCCACTCCCTGCCCAGGCCTGGGCTGGTCCTGGACACCATGGGTGCGTGTTGCCATTTGCATTGTCAGCCCTGGTGCCCCCCTCACTTCCCAAGGCCTCAGCAGCCCCCAGACCCGCGTCTCGGGCCGGCATCCTCACTCGGCTCCCGTCCTCCTCAAAGGTAGCCCTCTGAACCTGAGGCCGCTGGGGCCAGCGGCAGTGGTGACGCCAGGGCACACAAGGCCTCGGGGTGTCTGCAGGTTCAGGGGTTTCTCTTCTGCTCTTTGCTATGTGGAGTGAGTGGGGGGGCTCTATCTGGGAGTGGCTTTCCACCGGAGCGGGGATCATCCAGCTCTGGAGGCACCCGGAATCCTGGACAGAGGCCCACGGAGTTCTGTCTGTCCATCTGTCTACAGAGCTCGTGGGGTCACGGGTCATGAGGTCACGGGCAGAGAGGGTCAGCCTCCGGGTCCTTGACCCCCGGCTGGCATGTGTGAGCTGCGAGCCCTGATCTGCCTGCTGATCCCCGCTGACGGCAACGGTGCTTTACGTTCTGTCCTCCTCTTAGAGAACAATAGAAGGATCAAGTTCTCGAACAGCCACGAAGCGTCCCGCCACCTCCTAGTTCAAGATCTAAGTGGTGGCGCCTTCCTCACTGAAACGGAGAGGGCGTGCGGGAGCCACCAGGGGGCGCGCTGGGCCTTAGCTGCCGTGGTCCGGGGGCCGGTTAGGGACAGGAGACCTTGCAGGACAGCCTCCATTCTCATCTCTCCGGGAGGAGCAGGACGACTAGACACCAACCTGCACACACAGGCAGGCGCCGGGGCACCGCGACCCCAGGGCAGGGCCGGTGTCCCCCAGAGCCCCTCACACGCTCCCTCCACCCGGGACCCCCGCCTTCCTGGGGCGACCCCACTTTCTCCTGCAGGTTGTCGTAGAATTAGTGACTTGGGCGTTCCTGCCTGGGGAGATGTACCCGCTGTCCCGTGTCTGCTCCTGTCCTGTCCTCCAGGCCCCTCCGTGCCCACGTGCCCCGATTCCCAGCACAGTGACCTGGGGGTGCAGCGAAGAACGTTGCTCTTCAAGCAACGTCGTGAATTCTCACGCAGAGTCGTGTGGATACACAGGATGCACTGGCGTCCGCCGTCCGTCTAACCGCGGGAATGGAAGCTCCGAGAGGACAGGGGCTTGTTTCGGTCACCTTGTGTCCCCGGCACTTAGAACAGTGCCTGGCTTGTGGTCATCATCAACAAACACGTATGGATGACCCTGGGGAAAATGCTCGTGACAGTGAAAACGTGAAAAACCTGTGGTGCCATGCGATGCCCATTGTGCGAGGAAGCTGTACTTCTCTCTTTCCATGTAGCTCTCCCTGTATATACACCCAAGGAGAAACCCCCAAGAAATAATGAAAATTCTAACAGTGCCTATCTGAAGATATGAGATGACAAGTTAAATGCCTTTTGTTGGTTCCCACAGTACCTGCAATGGAATTGGGGGAGAATAACATCATTGGAAAGAATCGGCTGGAGGGGCGATTGCCATGGAGCGTTTTGGGGGCCTCAGGAAGGGACACTGGCAAGTGCAGCTGTCGTTCCTCCATCTGAGGTGTCCCCACCCAGGGGATATGTCAGCCTTTCTCCTGGGGTCTGAGAAGGTGCGTGACTGGCAGGGACTGAGGAACCTGGCCAGGCCTGGGCCCGGGGTGACAGGGGACCCCACCCAAGACCACTGACAGAAAATTCCTAGGTGAGCCCATGTCAGTGCCCCCCGCAGACTAGCTGGGGTACCCCAAGGACGAGAAGCCTCAGTGCAGGGGAGGCCAGGAGACCCATGGGCAGCTCATCTCACGCCTCCCTAAATTCGGATCCCACCTCACTGCCGGGCTGTAACGGCCTGTGCAGGTGGCATCCGTCCTGCTCTCGCCCACTACCCGGTCCACTCCACCCTGGCTGAGCCCTCAAGCGCAGAGATGGGGCAGAAGTGGCTCTAACGGCCAACACGGGCTCTGGGCTCTAGTCCCCTCCTCTTGAGCACATGGCCGGCCTAGCTTACTGTCACCAGCGGTGGATTCACGGCTCCTCTGCTCTGAACAGCACAGGTTTCTTCAAGGTCATCTGCTCTGCTTCAGTCGCCAGGGCGCACCTCACCCCCACCAGTCTTGGGACTGGCCGTGTCTCTGGTAGGAAAGACATGTGGGCTCATGGCCACACTCCATGGGCAGCACCTGCTCCGTGGGAGCCCCAGGGAGGGCAGATTGTGGCTGGGCCTCGGCCGGCCTGGAGCACAGAGTGGAGGCTCCGGACCTTTCCTGCACACCCCCTTGCTCAGGAGTCTCTGGTTCCAGGGCCAGCTGCCCAGGAGCTCGGCATGTGAGCAGGAGGCAGGAGCCACAACCAACACACCTACACACCAGGCCCTCGAGTCCCTCCAGGCTGTCCTTCCCACGCAGGGCTGCCCTTGACTAGCTGCTCCCACAGACGCCCCCAGACCTGTGGGGGGAGCAGAGCCACCCTGAGGCTAGGTCAGAGGCCCAACGAAAAGTCAAATCTGCATCTGATTTTGGAGGGTTTATGTTCTAAACTAGAGAAAGGTCACCACCAAGCTAGCCTCCCTGTGCAAACATGCAGGCCTCTGCCCTCGAGGTACTGCTGTGGCCAGCACAGGCAGCACGTGGCTCGGAATGAGGCCAGCCGCACACGGCGACAAGGGATGGATGATGGAGGGATAGACTGACAGACGGCAAAGGGCATCCCAGGGGCAATCACCCTCCTGGCCTGGGACCAAGAGTCGGGCACGGAGGAACCAGAGAAACGACTCAGGCCGATGCTGCTCCATGGTGAGGGCCCAGGGAGCCTGGGGACAGAGGCTCCTCCCGCCCTAGCCAAGGGACAGATCGCTGTTTCCAGAAGCTTCCTGGGTGCCTAGCTGGCGGCACTGGTTTGTGGTCAGGTGCTGGGACGGGGGGCTGCCTGCTTGGGGTCTGGGACATGGAGCACTTGCTTGAGGTCTTCTTGTCCAGGGAGACGCGCGGCCCCCAGCCTCCAGGGTGTGATGAGACAGTTTGTGTGCGGTGATTCTCAGCGCTTGGCAGTGCGGCCTGTCCTGTGATCTGTTCATCTGACGGTGCAGGTGCAGCCCCACATGCCCCCCAGGAAGGCTGGTTTCTGGGGTGGGGCCTCAGCGCCTGTTTCTGGCATCTCTGAGCCTCCTGATCACAGCTGGGGAGAACTGAGGTGGCGGACATGTCTCGCCCACGGTGGGCATTGGCAGGTGTCCCCTCTCTGTCCTCTGATCTCTGGGCCCAGATGTCCCGCCCTCGGAGAGACTGCTCATTACCCGCCCACGCCCTCCTGCATGCCTATGTGCACACGTGTGCTGTGTGTGTGTGACCATGTACAGGTGTGTGATGTGTACGTCTGCATGTGGGTGGTGTATGCCTGCGTGCACACATGGGGTATGCGTATATGCCCTTGCATGCATGTGTAAGTGTGCATGTGTGGTGTGTGCGCATGTTCTCATGTGAGAGAGTGAGTGTGCATCCTGGGTGGGGCAGGTGGGACGTGTCTCACAGGAAGAGGCTGGGCCCACACTTACTCAGTTTTAGGTTGAACCACATGAAGTTGTGAATATTCCCCCATCTGGCAGTTTGCAAGACTCAGCGGGTTGAACAAAGAAACTCCAAGCCCCTTGTCTCGTCTCCCTCTGTGGGGCCCCGGCTCCTGCCCACCCCTCACCCTGCAGGCAGATCCCCCCGCATCGTGATTTCCTCGATGTGGCCCTCCTGGCTCCCACTCAGACCCCCAGGAGACACGGGCACTGGGCCTCCAGCTGCACGGGCGCTCAGCCCTCCAGGTCCTCAGGGAACAACACTGCCCAGGGCTCCTGGAGTGCCCTGGCGTCATCTCTCGTTGAGGCTGGGAACCCCCAGGTGGATCTGGGGCTGAGCTTGTGGGCCATCGTTGACGAGAGCAGAGCCCACTCCCGGCCCTGTAGGGGAGGCGACTTTGTTTCTGGGTGTTCATGGGGTCTGGGTGGTAGGCTGTGCGATCATGTCCCTGAGCTCGCTTCCCCTCCCCAATTTACATTTCATGGAACAAGACCCATGGAAGAAAGGGGAAGGCTCCCTCGAGGGGAGAGAGGAGAGGAGAACATCTTCTGTTCACTCTTTATTGTGTCTTTTTAAACGATGGCATCATTGCTCACCCAGCGGGTCTGTGAGTCACACCTGGGATGGTTGTTGGCACCCCTGCCACAGGTTCGCATGGTGTTTCTCGGGGCTGCTTCTCTGCGTCCCTCGTCCCTCGGTCTAGCTGACCCCAGGGGACAGAAGTGGAGACCATCGGTTACTGGCCAGAGGGGGCGGGTCTCAGGTGGGACCGAGGAGGCTGGGAGGGCGTCAGGTAGGCGGCCTAGCCCCCTGTTCTCCTTCCTGCCCCCAGGGTCCCCTGCTCGGCCGCCACCGGCGTCTCCTGGTATGAATTACCTTCTCCAGGGCTGCTACACGCTCTGCTTCACTTTCTTCCTGGTGGAGTACGGGATGCAGCACACCCAGCCGGTCCTGGTCCTGGAGGCCGAGAGGAGCCCGGGGTGAGACAGGCGTCCCCTGCCCGCCACGGAGCCCAGGGCCATGTGCAGCACCTCCTCCACCCAAACGCATGCCACGGGATCTCCGCTCCAACTTGGGCTGCACCCACTTCATCAGGTCCCGGGAGCTGAGGGCTTGCCAGCCGGGGGTGGCTCCTGGGCCCTGCGCACAAACTCAGATCCCTGAGCAGGCTGGCCTGCCACCCACCAGCCCACGAGCCCACTCCGACGCTTTCATGCTCTGCCCTCAAAGGCCTGAGCCAGAAGGGCCCCTGAACATGAGAGACCTTAGGGCCTAGCTGAGCCAAGCTCCCCCTTGACTCCAAAGCCAGGCTGTCGCAGGTGTTACAGGTGGCTGGGGCCCATGTCCAGCCCTGCCCGTGTTCAGAACCTCGTGGCCTGTGCTCATTTCCCTGTGGGGTGGTCTCGGGTTTCCACTTCCAACGCTGCCTCTGGGATGAGGTGCCAGCCTCCTTTCCCTTCACAGGGACTACCACAGCTCGGTGTCAAAGGGCCCCACTGGGCCTCTAGCACGTGGAGGGCCCAACTCCACCATCAGAAAGGGCCCTAGGAAGAGGGCTGGACACACAGGCCTCAGCTCCAGGCAAAACTGAGATTGCAGGTGAGCAGGGCAGCAGGACAGACAGGTAACCCCGCCTGGCAGGTGTCCAGGCCAGGCTCACGTGGAGGGCCCACCACAGACCCCTTCCCGCCGGCCGAGCGGCCCCCAGCAGCCAAGGCTTGGCTCTTGGACTCTGGCCCCATCTCAGGTTTTCTGGGGCAACTGAGTCATGGGGATGAGGGGCTGAGACCAAGATACCAAGAGGGTGGAGCCGGGATAGTCTGGCCCTTGGGGCGGAAAATAAAGCGGCCAAGCTGTATCGGGTGTGGCTGAGTCCATCACCACGTCCACCAAGAAATGATGAGACAAATAAAGGTCTGCTTGGGAAGGACCTGCCCGTTTTTAGCCCAGCTTTGGGAGTGATGGGGCAATCCCCGTAGCCTGGTGGAAGCCGCGTGACCAGCTGTGTGAGTGGAGATCAGGGAGATGTGGGCCGTCTGAGTCAAGATGGAGCAAACCTTCCTCACAGAACATACACTCGGGGAAAGGCAGTAACAGTAACAACTGTCCCATTAGCACCAGGTGACGCGGCTGCAGACAACTGGGGAGACCCTCCCCTCCCTGCCTGTCCAGCCTCCCTCTGAATCCGCACTCCCGGGCAGGCCTCGCTGTTCTCAGTGGTGGGACTCGCTGACTGGACGCTTTTCATCTCTGTTGTGCTATCCCACATCCTCTCCATTATTTAAAATGACCGTGTATCAGTTTTACCAGGTAAATAGAGAAATTTTTCTTTTAAAAAATGTCCAAGCCAATAAGCCAAGATTTGAACACAGTTGTTGATTCTGAGTGGTGGGAAGATGGGTAAATTGCTATTTTCTTCTTTGTGTTTCTCTGTATTGTTTAAAATAAAATAGATCCCATCCCGCCTATTCCCAGGACCTTCCCGGCCTCAGGAATTTGTGGGGCTTCGCTGGCCCCACACACTCTCCACCCATCATAGGGTACAGGCAGTCAGGCCCCGAGGCCTGGTCCGCTTTGCCAAGACAGCAGCAGCGTGATGGGTCCTCCCACTGCCTGCAGCACCAAGGTCTGCAGCTTCTGCAGCCAAACCCCAACCTGAGAAGCTGGTACAGCCCCTGCAGCGACACCCCCTTCACCTTCTCTTCTTCCTCCCTCCTTCCCTCCTCATATTCTGGCCATTCTGTTGGCTGATGGGTGGGGAGAGAGGGTCTGGCTATGGGTGAGGTGGGACTCAGGTAAAGGTTGTCCCTGAGTCCTTAGTCGGTTAGATGCTGTGTTGCCTGCCTCTCAGCCCCTCCAGCCTTGGTAAATGCTTAGGTCTCTGCACCTGCCCAGAAGAGGAGAGGCACGGTCCTGCCCACCTGCATGAGGCATGTGGGCCCACCAGAAACCATGGCAGAAGAAAAGTCCCCCCACGTCCCCGACAGGAACCCACAAGCATCACTCACTCATCTTCTGACAAATCTCCCACGTCCATCTGGGACCGCTTCTCTCTCACGGCACATGTGACCACCTGTGGGAAAGAACAGGAGCAGTTTAGGGGCCGGAGGAGGGACTAGACCGTAGGCACCGAGGTCAGACCTGCTGGACCTTCCCAAGGACCAGATGGAGGTGTGAAGATTGTGCTGGCCCTGAACATCCTCCTAAGAGACAGGGCACCGTCAAGTGGAAGTTTCCAAGTAGGGGATGCTGACCAAGGAACTGTGCCCTTGATGAGGGCCACTGTGATCTCTGGATGAAAGATCAGGAGACCTGGGCCCTTAGTCCCAACTCTGCCACTGGCTGACCCTCCTTGAGTCTTTAGAACATGTGGTGCCCCTGTAAGAGCCTTGGCAGAGCTAATAACCAGCTCTCTTCACCGCAGAGCATGTTCTGAGGGCAGAGAGACAGAAGGAGCAATCTGGAAAAGAATGACTCCAGGCAGGAGCTTAAATTTGCCAAGAGAGAACCTCAAAAAACTTCCAAAAAGATGACTGCTCACCACAGCAGAGAACTGGAGAAAGATATCCTAGAATATTTGTGTTGGAAAGGCCCAGACAGGCCACTGGGTCAACCACTTCATTTTTACAGAAAATGATGATGATGATGTCACAAATGATGGCGGTGGTGATGGTGATGGTGATGACGGTGATGGTGGTGATGATGGTGATGGTGGTGTAGGTGGTGATGGTGGTGCTGGTGTAGGTGATGACAGTGATGATGGTGGTGGTGATGGTGATGATGATGGTGCTGGTCGTGATGGTGATGATGATGGTGGTGATGATGGTGATGGTGGTGATGGTGATGGTGGTGATGATGATGGTGGTGGTGATGATGGTGTAGGTGGTGATGGTGATGATGGTGATGGTGATGGTGGTGATGGTGATGATAATGGTGGTGGTGATGATAGTGGTGGTGATGATGGTGATGGTGGTGGTGATGATGGTGATGGTGGTGATGGTGTAGGTGGTGATGATGGTGATGGTGGTGATGGTGTAGGTGGTGATGATGGTGGTGGTGATGATGATGATACCAAATAGTGAGGCTTTCTGAGTACCAGGCACCGTTCTGTGGGCTTTACAAAACAACACTGGGGTGTGGGTGTTACTAATTCCCATTTTACAAATGAGACAGAGAGGTATGGTGACTTATTTGAGCATTTACTGGCAGACCCAGATGTGGAGGCCAGGTCTTCCAACTCCTAAGTCTGTGCCCTTCCTACCATCCCAGCACGATTCCACAAGAGGTTCTTGGGGCGCATGGGCACCCCACGGGTTGACCCAGGCCTTGTGTCTCTGATGGTGCTGGAATGCGTGCAGGTTGGAGGGAGGGAGGATGAGAAAGAGGTGAGGGTGCCCTCCGGCCCCCAGGCCAATCCTCAACACCCCGAGCTCTCCCCGCACTGCTGGCCCGTCTCGGCCTCAGCCTCCCACACACGCGGAGGGGGCAAGTTCCCCAGCAGAGCTTGAGGCCTGAGCATGAGCATTTCCCGTGTGTGGCTTGGCTTTGTTGTCTGAGGGTTTTTACCTCATCGGCATGGTCTCCCAGATCAATCTCCACAAACACAGATGGTTTCTGTGAATGGAAACCAAAGAGGCGTGGATGACGGGCATGGGTGCGCTGGACAGGGAGTAGACTTCCTGAGAGGGATGGCAGGCTCCTGGCATGGGGCAGTCAGGGTCTGGGTGATTACCACCGGGACCACCAGATGCTGGTTCTGCTCAGCAGGGGCTACCGAGAAGCAGGGCGGAGGGCCGTGGGCAGTGTGGATGTGAGGTGTCTGTGGGCCGGCTCTGGCAGAGAGGCCGAGAGAGAAATATGGCCTCTCGCCTGTCCCTCCTTACCTCTTCAGGTCCCTGAGCCCCCGGAGGGCCTCCCCCACTTTCACCCTCTGAGAATCAGGGCCTCTGGGTGACAATGTGATGCCTGGAGCTGGGGCAGCCCCTCCCTGCCCACCCCAGACCTGCTCAATTGGGCAGCACTGGACTCTGCTTCTGCAAACCTACCTGGGCCCCCTCTGCCCCGCCAGTGAAGACACAGCGAGAGGTGACCGGCCCGAGCAGGTCAGGTGTTGCTGCCCCCGGGTCTCTAACTGGGCACCTGGATTGGCCCAGAATGTGTTTCCAATACAGCACTTCAGTGAACACCAAGAGAAGGGTTTGGGGGGGTAGAGGCCTTCCCAGAACCCCTGGGATCTCCCCAAGGTCCATGTCACAAATCCTGGTGAAGCTTGTCCAGCTGCCTCTACACTCCCTACCCCAGGTACTGGGCGGAGAGGAAAGCCGCCTTCCCTCAGAAAGGGCCGGGTGAGAGTTCCAACTGCGGCGCTGCCTGTCTCTGGCAAGCGCATCAGGGCAAGGGGCTGGGAGGTGTTTCTGGGGCCAAGGTCAAGCTGGTGGTCACCTCCTGTCAGGGCCCCGCACGCTTTTAGCAACTGCAGTGTTTGGCAAGCTTGGGTCAGGATGCCCCGGCTTCCGGCCGACAGCACAGAGCTTGACCCCAAAGGCTCTCTCAGGTTGCGGTGTGGCTTGGTCCAGTCTGCAGCACGGCCCTGCGAGGTGACCTGGGACCACGTGTCCACAGCGCGCTCACAGTCCAGCAGGGCCATGCCCGACAGGCCTCCCCATCTGACCTCTGTTTAACTAAAGTAAAAGCTCTTGCCTCCTCCTCAAGAAGGTCCTCCAGCTGTATGGACTCTGGCTCCCGACCCTGTAAGAAGACACCAAACAGGTAAATAAGGGCGGGACTCCTGCCCGAGGGCACAGCGTGTGTGCACGCGGAAGGACCTCGCCCTGGGCCCTCCCCTCCCCGAGCTCCTGCCACTGGCCTCCAAGCGGCTCTCCGCCACCTCTGGCTCCACCTCTTCACTCTGGAGGGCCGACCTTCCGAGGGCGTCCTGGCTCTTCTCCCGCCTGTGCTCCCTTCTGTCTGCGCGGCTGTGGGGGGAGCGGAGCAGCGGTTGGAGCGGGGGTCCTGGACACGCGGCTTCCAGCCCACACCATCCTCCCTCTCTGGCGTCCAGCAGCCCCAGGAGCCTCCCGAGCCTGTGCCCTGCCCCATCAGCAGAGGGGAGCCTGCGTGTGAGGGGACTTCTCCTTCCCAGGGGCGGGCGGGCAGGGACAGACCCAGGGCAGAAGGAACGTGGTGTGCAGGGGTAACAGGCACCAGGCAGTGCCCCTCGAGGCTGGGTCTGCAAACAGCACCGCACGACAATTCCGGTGGGAATGTTTGCGACACAGGCGCCAGCTCTGGGGGGTGCTGCAGGGAGGGGCTGGCAGCCTTGAGACCCTCTTGGTCATCCTGTCTCCACTCTCCTCCCAGGGCACCCCGGGGCTCCCTTGGCGCCCCTGCCATCTCCTGTGTCCTCCATGCGTCTCCTGAGAACCACCTCTGCGGACAGAGGCCTCTTACCAGCTGGCATCTTCGGGCTCACTTTTTAGGTCCTTTCCCTGATCTTCGGACTCTGAGGAGGAAGGGGTGGAGTTGGTCATCAGCACGTCCATCCTGTGGCCTGAACGTCAGTGTCCTGGGCCACGGTTCGGCTCTGCAGGGACCGACGGGCCACCCCAGGGGTAGGGTGCTGGGCTTTGGGACTAACTGCCCACTGTCCACCTGGGACTAACAGTCATGGCTAGAGCGGGGCTGGAGTTTCCTCCCGACGGACTCCCCCCCCCCACACCGTACCCCCGCCCCGGGGCGCTGCCCGCTCTAACTTCTTACTCCTGGAGCACAAGGCCCACCCACACGGCCCACCGGGACCTCCGCCCTCGTTGGAGGGAACTTGAGCGAGGCCTGAGGCGTGGGCTTCACAACAGGTGTGGAGGCCAGGGACACTTCAAGTTCTAGTGGCAGCACACTGGACTGGAGGCCACAGACGCGGGGTGTGGGGACCCTCACGGAGCCGCCTATCGCTGGGCTCCTCTCCGGGGCGGGTGGGGAGGGCCGCGGCCCCGGGAGGGGGACACCTGGCTGGCCCAGGAGATCCCTCTGGTCACCAGTTCCTGCCGGCTCCTGTGAGGGGCATTGCTGGGGGAGGAAGGCAATCTTTTCTCCAGGAAAAGTGCAGATGGACGTCCAGTAGCAGGAGCTTTGTCCCAGCCTGAGGGTGAGCAGTGCACCCGTGGTTCCCTGACCCGCCTGATGTTCTCGTGTGAGGAGCGGCTCGTCCATAAACAACTGAGGTGAAACCACATGGGGCGTCCAGGCAGGACGGAGCCTCATGGACGCTCCTCCTGAGCAGAAGGGTCTGCTGTTTCAGGGGTGCCGCTTCAGTGAAACGCACACCTCTCGAGTCGGGAGCTGGCGGACAGCAAGCCTTCGAGGAGATGTGCAGCTGGAGGTTCTCCTAACTCTCCTCAGTGTCTAGAGGGGGCCTCCAGAGGCCTCCAGGTCCCCTTTCTGTGTGGCCACATCCGAGCCTGGAACGGTTGCGGTGACAGCTTGGTCCCCCCGACCCAACACACACCCAGGGCCCACGATGCAGACAGCCCAGAGGAGACCCCAAAGCTCTAAATCCTGCTCTTGATGGAAGACCTGGGGCCATGCCTCCGAGCAGGCCCCAGTCTGTAAGGAGGGTTTCCTTACAGACGCTCCCATGCGGTGTCCCTTCAGCCCACAGGCCTCGGGCCGGGGCACCTGCCAGGTGCAAGAGGTGATGGCCCGGCTCCCGGTAGGGGCTGCATCTTTTCTATGGGGGCCCCGTCTGCCTGGTCTCTGCGTTCTCTCATGCTGTTCTTCTCCTGGAACATGTCCCCACCCCTGCCATCCTCCAATGCCACCCTTCATGGGGTCTGGGCGCCCCTGCCCGGCGTTAAGCGACCTGCTCCTGGGAGGAGCTTTCGTCACGGCCAGGCCTCCCTGGGGTCAGCATGCGTGGCCTCGGCTGGTCATCGGGCACTTCTCTTCATCTCTGGTCTCTGCTGGTCTGAGTTCCCTGCAGCTAAAAGCCAGGGGTTCTTCATCCTCCTGTCTGTGCCACCACATGGGCTCACGGACGCGTGTCTGTCTGTGCTGTGCAATCCCTGGGCAGATGAAGGGTGGGGGCGAGAGGGAGCTGTGTCTTCAGAGAATATTCTAGAACTTGGGAGCTCTCAGGACCTCCCTGGGGGTAGGAGGCACAGTGCAGCCCCGAGCTCAGATAGGAGGACTGGAACGATGGAGTGGGTCAGAATCCACAGCTTCTAGTAGGGATTTAAAAGTCGACGTCTTCTGGAAGATCTTCAGCAGCCCCCTAGCCCGTGTGTGTGAGCGTGTGCACGTTTAGAAGACCAGGGCTGTCCCAGGCAGATCTTCAAGCCCTGCCCCTCCCTGCAATATGCATCCGGCAAGAAGGAAAATCAGTGAAGAGAAACACGAGTTCTCTCTGCTCCAAAGGCTGAGGGACTGGAAAGGCCGCCATCCCCCGCGTACCTCGGCTCAGGAAGTACAAACACTGAAGCACGGGGCTCACGGCCCCTCCCCGTTCCCTTTGCTAAGAAAGAGCCTGCGTTTATCTGGGCTCCAGGCCTATTGGGCCACGAGTGGTCCCTTAGTCCGAGGGTTGGTTGATGAACATCCGGGGGGCAGAGGGCTGGGCGGTGACCTGTGGGCTGGTGGTCTGCGCACAGGGTCTCAGGAGAAAGCGCACGGCCAGAAGCTCCAGGATGTGAACAGAGGTTTCCCTGCGGGCTCTCTGCAGCTAGGATTTGAACGATCCTCTGACCACTCACAGGTGATATTTTGAGTGTGAGGAGCCACTTGCGGGTGTGGGGTGTGGCTGGGGGGCAGCAGAGGGTGGGGCAGGGCCAGGGTGGGCGTGGCCGCAGCCAGTTCTCTCGGTAGTTACTAAACTATCAGAAAACGTGTAAAAGGCGCAAGGCTGGCTGGGTATGGGGGCGTGGCACGGTTCCCGAGACCCCACAGTAACTAGTGATGACTCTAACATGGGGAAGCCCCATGTCACAGACCTGACAGGACCTTCTGGGAGCCCTGCTCACTCACACCCCGTGCAGCCCCATGAGTGGGTCCCGTCCACCCACAGGGTCCTGTCCTTGCCTTTCCCCACGTCCTCCTTGAGCACTAGGGCGTGTTGTCAGTTCCATGGAGCAGAGTGCTCGGAGAGACCTGCTGGTGAGGCCTGTGCAACAGGGGGACCAGGGCAGTGGGGAGGCCTGTGCGATGGGGAGGCCAGCACAGCGGGGAGGCCAGGACGGTGGGGAGGCCAGGGCAGCATTGGGAGACACAGTAGCTCAAGCCCGGGAGGTTCTGCAGTGAGCAGGGCGCGGGGGTTCTGTGTGGTGACATGGGTGGCCAGGGTGCGTGGGGCGGGTTCCGGAACACAGAGGATGGATTCCTGTGGCTCCTCTCCTGGAACAGGCTTGTCCTCCCTGAGGGACATGCTCCCCGGCCAGCTCAGAGGCACACCCTCTGACTCTCTGGACGGCCCTCTGCCCGTCCTTTAAGGTAGCTGTCCCCTGCGTGTCCTGCGTCCACGTCATCTTCACCCCTGTGGGTTCAGGCAGCACCTGCCTCATTGCCCTTGCTCCCCACGTGGGCGAGCGTCCAGCACTGGTCGGTGCTGGGCATTTGGTGAGGCCACTTTTTCTCGTCTCATTTACGATGTGGACAGCAAGGCTGGGAGCAGCCTGCACTGGTGCGTGGCTGGGAGGCCTGGGGCTCTGCATCCTGCAGGCTCTCGACTGAGGGAGGCTGAGCCCCTCTGTATGGGGCCCTGGTGCCTCTGGAGAGGTGCCCGCGAGGGGGGACAGTGCGCACGCGGAGGCCCCCGTGTCACCCACCAGCTGGGGACACCCGGCAGACCCTGTGGGAACCGAGCTGTCCCCCCAGCTCCTCAGCTGAGTACACTCCGTGGGCGCCCACGGCGGCGTTGCCTGGTACGTGCAGTATTTCCTCGGCAGACTTAGGGCGATTCTTCTTTTGGGAACTTTGCTTCTGTTGACTGAGCCTGGGAAAATGGCGGTGCCCGGAGGTGTTGCGGGGTGGAGGTCGTGGGAAGAGCCACAGAGAGGCCCCTGTGCTGCCTCCCGCCCAGCGTCTCCTCCTCAAACAACTCATCTTTGGGTTTTTAAACTAGAGAAAAACTAGCATTTTCACACCACGGCCTCTCAAAATCGCCCCTGGGGCTTGAATTTCCCACCTACTGCGTTCGTTTCCCTAGCCCACCGACAACCTCATAAACGGCCACGTGCTGCTGTGAATGCTCCACAAGAACCAGAGACGCCGAGGCCTGGGCAAGTGATGGAGAGTCCCTCCGTCCCTCAGGGTGAGGCCTTGCTGCTCAGAGGCAGGCGCCAGGAGACGCCCACAGCAGGACAGCCGGGTCACTAGGTTCCAGAGGCAGGTCCACAGAAGGACGAGGGCGTTCAGGCGCCCGTCCCCACTGTGGCCATGCCATGACCCCGCTTGGCATGTGTGGGACTGTGCTGGAGTGGGAAACGCGCTCGACACCAGGTGTAAACCCACACACCTTACAATGTAAAGCCGCCTCACGCCATGCACAACGACAGCCGGCACGGAACCAGGGCTTCCCTGCTGACCACGTGAGGTCCCGGGGCCCCCAATCCAGGCTCCCTTCAAAGGCACAGGTGTCGTCCCAGGGCCTCACCGCACACCCCAGACACTTCCGTGTTGGCTCCTTCCGGTCTCCATTCTCCCTCTTCCCCCCTGGAATCAGCAGAGCATCCAGCTTGTCACTGCACAGTCCCTGGCCACCGAGCTGGCCCTGCGGAGCCCCAGGCTGGTTCTGCCACCCACCCCTCAGTGCACCACACTGCACCTCGGCCTTTGGGGTTTTGAGCAGGGGCAGTAGGGGGGCCGGAGGATGCGCAGTGGCCCCACCTGGCTCCCTGCACAGCTTCTTGATGCAGCTCGGAGGGTCCCCCTTCTGGAGCAGGCCGCCCACACTCCTGCTCCTCTGGAGCTCAGCCACCTCACTGGTAGCCTTCGCCCCCAAGGGAGGTGCCCCGGGGCCCGGCCGGTGCCTCCTGTGCGTGGCTGCGGCGTCCTTCTCCATCCTCCGCCTGCCCTCAGGTCTCAGGAGAGAGGGACACGGCTCTCAGGCACACCCGCACACGGAGAGCATGGCTTCCCACCCTGCGATGAGCAGCCAGGAGTGTGCGGGCAGTTGCTAGGTGGCCCCTGTGACATCACCGCAGAATCAGAGGTCAGAGGTCAGTCCACGGGGTTGCAAGTGGGCTGTGCTGGGCTCCCCACCTGCCGGCCCCTCCGCCAGAGAAGGCAGAGGAAAGAGCCTTGGGGATGTGGGCCCCTGCCGCTGGGTCCGCTTCACGCCCGGGGACAAGGTTCTCTATCTGAGCATCGCTTTTCCTTCAGGGCACACAGTGCGGACACTCGGGCACATGGACAGAGGACGCGGAGGATTCGTCCTCACGCCGTGGGAGAGGAGGTCTCCGTGCAAACGGGGTGCCGGGTGGGCGTGGGGGCGGGGCGCTGAGCTGGACTCAAACCTGTGGCTGCACCTCCATCCACAGGAGCAGCCGGCGCTGCCATGACAAAACCAGAGATGTGACGCAACCAGAGAGGCGAGCACATCAGAGAGGGGAGCACACCAGACATGCAAGCACGCCAGAGACGTGAGCACACCAGAGAGGAGATGCACCCCAGAGATGTGAGCACACCAGAGGGGACACACCCCAGAGACGTGAGCACACCAGAGACAAGGAGCGCACACCAGAGACGAGACGCACACCAGAGAGGAGATGTACCCAAGAGATGTGAGCACACCAGAGATGTGAGCACACCAGAGAGGGGAGCACACTAGAGATACGAGCACACCAGAAAAGGGATGCACATCAGAGACATGAGCACACTAGAGACGTGAGCACACCAGAGAGGAGATGCACATAAGAGAGGCGAGCACACCAGAGAGGAGACGTACCCGGGAGACGTACCCGAGAGACGTGAGCACACCAGAGAGGGAACGCACACCAGAGATGTGAGCACACCGGAGAGGCGATGCACCCCAGAGACGTGAACACACCAGAGACTTGAGCACACCAGCGAGAGACATGAGCACACCAGAGACGCGCGCATGCCAGAGAGGCGAGCACACCAGAGACGTGATGCACACCAGAGACGCGAACACACCAGAGATGTGATGCAGACCACAGACGCGAGCACACCGGAGACACAAGCCCCCTGGAGGGGCGAGCAGCCTGGAAATGCGAGCACCCTGGAGACACGAGTACACCGGAGATGTGACGCACAATGGAGACGCTAGCACACCAGAGAGGCGAGCACACCGGAGACACGAGCACACCAGAGACGCGAGCACACTGTGCGGACAGCGCACAGTCTCAGCGCTGGAGGCGGGAGGCCCCAGACGAGGTGTGGGCAGGCTGGTTCCTCTGAGGTCTCGCTCCTGGGCGTATAGACGCAGTCTCCCCCCATGTCCTCACGTGGTCATCTCTCTGTCCACGTCTGTGTCCTCATCTTCTCTTCTTATAAGGACACAGGTCCTATGGGATCAGGGCCACCCCAATGACCTCGCATAACCTTAACCACCTTTTCAAAGGCCCTGTCTCCAAACACAGTCACAGCTGAGGTCCTGGGGTCAGGACTTTACCACAGGAGTTTTTTGGGGGACACAATTCAGCCCATAGCAGATCCTCACAGGAAATTTCTGGTATCTTTTTCCAGCACACAATTCTTCCTCAATCATCAAGACCCTGGGGGACCAATCGCTGTGGGTCCTTCCCGGACGACCAGTCGGTGGCACGTGTGTTATAAATACTCAGAATGAGGCAACGGGGACTCCCTAATTCACACGCACGTCTGTCCCCCCGAACAAGCTTGTCATATCCCCGCTCACAGGAGGCCTCAAGTCACCAGTCACGTGGCCGTGCAGGTGCCTACCTGGGGTCTGGGAACCAAGACATTACTCGGAGGACCTGCTCTATCCCGAGGTTCTGACCCCAGAGAGCCCAACAGATGGAAGCCAGGATGGCAGGATGTGAGATCCGGCTCTTCAGGAAACAGGTGAACAGAGCGGGGTCCCCAGAAGCCCACTGTGACGTGTCATTGGGCTCCTGGGAGAGGGGCTTCTGGTCCCCTCGTCCCCCAGGGTTTGTCCTCTCAGCCCCTCCATGTGCCTCCCACGGGAGCAGAACTGCCCAGTCCTCCTGGTTCCTCCGCGAGGCCTGGTCCCGTACATGAATCTGAGCCGTCCAGGCTCCGCGGAGCCGCCCCAGCCTTTCTGTGGACGCTCATGTCTGGGATGACTGGTGCCGTCACCTCCGACCTGGTGGCCTCCTGGGCAGGCGTTTCCCCTTCACCCCCCACCAGCCCTGGCGCTCTCCCACCGCCCACAGCTGCCCTGCCCAGAGCAGACAGCGGGGGCCGAGAGAAGCAGGGACAGCACTTCCCTCCCCATGCCCACGGCCACGCCCCCAGGAAGGAGTGTGACCACCACCGCCCTGAGTCCTGAGCTCCCCAGGAACGTCTGCCCCTGAGTCCCAGAGCCAGACCACCCATTCTTCTGAGCACTGACTCAGACTAGAATTAAAGAAACAACTGAGTGACAACCAGATGGAGAAAACAAAGGAGGTGAGAGCACCCTTGTCCCCCGAGGCGGGGTCTCCCCCCAGGGCCTGCTGTGACTGGCTCCTCCCTCTTGTCCCCTTCAGGAAGGATGACAGCCAGAAGCTCCCACTGCCTCCCCTCAGGCCCATCGCCCTTGGCTCCTCCTCTCAGGGGCTGGCCTGTGCTTGGTCTTTGAGCCCACGACCACTGCTGCATCCTGGAGACAGGAGCACGTGAGGGAGCCTCTTTCCCATGCTCCTTGAGCTGGACGCCCATTGCTGTCTACACTGCAGTTCCCAGCAGAACACCGTCCAGCAGCCGACGCCACACCACCATCCCAGAGAGCATCGTGGTTTCCAGCTCAACCCAGAGCCCCACAACTGGACCTCACTTGTCAGGGGGACCTCACCTGTCAGAGAGACCTCACCTGTCAGGGGTTCCTCACGTGTCATTGGAGGGACCTCACGTGTCATTGGAGGGACCTCACCTGTCAGAGAGACCTCACCTGTCATCACAGGTACATCATCCAGCTCCCCACCTGCCCCGCTCCCCCACACACCCCTCCTGCCACATGTGCAATTATCAGTGGGCAGTCCTCAGTAAGAATAGAATGTCTGTTTTAATTGGCAGTAAAATACATTGCAAATCATCAGTATCTTATAAACAGAAACATTAAGTTACAAATCCATGTTAAAAATTGAAGTTCGGTGCAGCCTAATAGCTGTGTATCCCACAGTTTATTTTTTGCAACATTCTCCTCGGCCATTTTTGTGACAACAAGTAACTTACTATCTGCCATCCAGATTAAGAGTCTGAAGGACAGCGTTTGCACACAAGAGCAGAGGTGGGCACGGGGCACATGGTCCCACATGTCTGAACAGCTGGTGCCGGCCGCCGTAAGGACGGGCTGGGAAAAGCCAGCCAGCAGCTGGAGGGCTGACCGCCCATGTGAGGACCCCCACCCCAGTAGACAAGCAGCCCCACCAGGGCCCTGACAGCTTCCAGGGGCTTCAGAGACATGGTGAAATCCTGATGCTGGGCTCGGGCGTCTGCAGGCTCGGGGCTTCTTCCCTTCCTCGGTTTTCTCTGGAGGACTTTACTCGGCTTCCACGAGACACACCATGTCCCTTTTTGCCCTTCCATGGCACCCTCCCTTCAATGAGTACAGGCTAGATGTTCTGAGTTACTTTACATCAAAGAGCTAATTAAAAACGGTCCTTTAAAAACATTAAGCAAAACAGCTGAGAAATAATGCACATTTCTATTTTAAAAATTTCCCCCAACTTCCACAAGGGGTGGCAAACGTGGATTCTACTCTTAAGCCCATGGACAGCAAAACAACACAATTTGTGCTTGAAGTGGGGCCCTAGCAGACACCGGCTCAGCCTCTCGTGGCTCTGGTGGCACCGCAGGCTGTGGGCACCTCACAGCAGCTGGCAGGAGTGGGGCTCCAACCTCCGGAGGGAAGACTCGACCCCCCCGCCCCACGAACTCTCTGCAGGAGGACCCTGTACCCTGAAATATCAAGAGCATCCTCAAATCGGGACCTCAGTGCAGTTCTGCACATCCCAGCACAAATGGACCCTCCAGCAGGAGGAACCCCAACAATCAAAGCTGAAACCAGGAGGGCTCGCCCATGGCCGTCGGGCTGGCAGCTCCTGGGAAAGAACAGTGCTCTCAACGTCCTGGCCGTGTTGAAGCAGAACGTCAGAGAAGAGAGCTGGAAGGCTCCCTGCGTGCAAACACTGCAGAGCCAGCAAAAGTGCACGTGAGAGAAGCACACGCTCTGCCAAGGGTGCATGTCGCTGGCACCGCGTTCCACAAAGGCCAGCTCAGGTCACCAGCCACTGGCGTGAATAAAGTGGGCGGCAGCCACAAAAACGGGCCCGGAGCCTCTGGAGTCCGTGAGCTCAACGCCTTCGTCCCTGCGAGCTGCCGATGTGGGTCCCTTCGCTCGCTCCGCCCTCGTCTCCCTCCTTCCCCGGGACTGGCCTCACATGGAATGGGTGGAGACCTCGGACTGCTGCCGGATGTAGCTCTGGAAGCTCTTGTCTCCGATGGGGTGCTCCCTGAAAGGAAGGGGGAACGTGAGGCACAGCCCCGCACCCACGCTCCCTGCACTTCTGCAGGTCTCTTCTGTCTCCATTCACTGTAACCAATACGGAAAATGCAGACAGGAAAGGAAGAAAGAGCCCGCCCAAGGCTGCCTGTGGAAGTACACGTGACCCTCGTCACAGCGTGTAGGTCACGTGTGTGCACACGTGTGTAGAGTGTGTACATGCGTGTGCAGGGCACGCACATACATGTGGAGACCGTGAGCTCCGGGAGGTGTGGTGCTAATATCTGGGCAGCGCCTGGTCTGTTGCAGGCGCTCAGTCCTGCTCGCAGATGGACCGGGTGCTTGCACAGCTGCCCCCGGGGAGACAGGACCGAGCGCCCACCTGTTTCCTCCGCGCTTCACCGCGGTTAATAAAAGGTTCATGACAGGCTGAGGTGGGCTCTCTCAACAAACCGCTGTGAAAGGGACCTGGAATGTGACGTGAATGTTTATGGGACAGGACAGGCTCCTGAGCCCCCTGGTCAATGGTGGGGGGGGGGGTTCTCCCAGGGCCCCGTCACTTCCCTTCCAGATCCAGCCCACAGCTTCCAGGGAAGGAGGAGGAGGACGCACCACCCCCCGACCCCCAAGGCTGTGTGGGCGGGTGGGGGCTCCACCATGGCGGTCCACACCCGTGGATGGGACAGTCTGGCAGTGATGCTAACAAGGGGACCCTTTATGTAACTTAACCCAATGTGCTAACAACTCGTGAGGCCCATCACACTCCGTTCGTGGGGCGGAAGGAGGGACACAGCTTGGTGGACCTGCCCGTGGCTGCACAGTCGGCAGCCGTGGAACAGAACACAGGGCCTGGCTGAGTCTGGTCTCTGCATGCCCACCCCCACCTCAAGAGATGACAGTGGGGACCAAGACTGGGGGCCAGTCCAGAGCGGACCTGCTCCTGTTGCCCAGCGTGGCCTGGAGAGAGGCCAAAGGTGTGGAAATTCCTGGGGGCAGAGTTGCTGGCCCAGGAAAGCCTGATTTCAGAAGCAAATGGCTTGGGGAGACAGTGGGGTCTGGAGGCAGGAAGGGTCTAGAGGCAGGGAGAGGGGGAGGGAGGCAGGAGGGGGGTCAGTCAGGAAGCAGCGGTTGGGGGGTATTGGGAGGCGGCGGTGGGGAGGGAGGCAGGGGATCAGGAGGTGCCGCCTGGGACACTGTCCAGTGGGCCCTGGAGAGTACGGGGAGGTCCTGCTCTGGAGGAGACAGGCAGCCCACCCCAGGCCCAAGCCACACACAGTGGCTCTAAGGCAGGCCTGGCCTCGGAGCAGCCCCTTCCCTGTCCCCACACTCTTCCAGACCCAGGGAACCCCCATGCACCGGGACGTGGTACTCACTGGCTCCCATACTTGGTCTTCTTGAACTTGTCCCTTTTGTACTGGGCGTGCTCCTGCTCCAAGGCCACGACCCCGGCGATGACCTGCTTCAGCGTCTTGTAGGTCTCCTGGGGGTCGTCGATGAGGAAGGTCGAGTACTCCTCCTGCTCCGGCCCGGCGTACACGGATCTGCTCCCACAGGCCTCTGTCAGGAGAGTCCAGAGGTCAGTGCACGCTGGGAGCACCCAAACAGCCTGCCTCCTCAGGCAAGGGCTGTCCATTCACAGGCAAATGCATGGAATGAAGCCATCCCCCAGAGCTGGGCCAGCACCGGACCCTGGAGAAGCCTGCGGGAGTGAGAAACCAGGGGCCCAGGAACCGAGGATTCTGCGAGTCTGATGGCCAAGCGCCAGGGCTTAGCCCCTCTCCAACCAGCCCTTCTCCGGGGTGGCCTGTATCCGTCCAGGCCCCACTGCTCACCAAGCCAGAACCAGCACTGATGCTGCGCCAGGCTGGCTCAAAGGCCTGTGGGGTCACCCAGGGTGAGTCTGGGGAGAAGAGGTCGAGGAATGCCCTGTCTTAGAAAGGGTGTCAGGGCTCCACTCGCTTCTTTCACCCAGCATTTATAAGGAAACCCCATGGCTGGGACACACGCACCACCTGGGGACACGCAGGGCCCAGAAGCCATGCTCGCAGGTGTCACCTCTCGCCCAGTCTGTGCCAGCAGCTTCCTAGGACCTCTGTCCATCTCCTCCACCTGCTTAGTAGGTGAGTTTCTCATCGGACCCCATGGGAAGCACCCAAACACGTGTGCTGGGCTTGGGGCCTCCCCAACCTGTCCCCAAACACCTGAGCTGGGCCTGGGGACCCCCGACCTGTCCTCAAACACCAGCGCTGGGCCCCCCACCTGTCCCCAAACACCTGTACTGGGCCCCCCACCTGTCCCCAAACACCTGCACTGGGCCCCTTACCTGTCCCCAAACACCTGTGATGGGCCCCACCACCTGTCCCCAAACACCTGCGCTGGGCCCTCCCACCTGTCCACAAACACCTGCACTGGGCCCCCCACCTGTCCCCAAACACCTGCGCTGGGCCCCCCCCACCTGTCCCCAAACACCTGTGCTGGGCCCCCTGACCTGTCTGAGCTGGGCCCTGCGCTCCAGGGCCACAGAGACCAGGTGGCCCAGGTGAGCCGGGATCCAGGGGTTCCTCACCAAACCCCATCACTATTTCCTCATCACAGAAAGCTCCGGCGTCCACTTCCTGTCTTTACTTCCAACTCAGGGGAATCTCTTAATTCTTATTGAAAAATCACAAGTCTGTGCAAAGGAAAACTTGGAGGATTTAAAATTTCAAAGAAAAGGGAATTTCACATGAGAAAGATAAGGGCCAGACACAAGGGAAAAAGAAGAGAAGAAAGGTGGGGAGGAGCCCCGGGCACCAGCGTGAGCCCTGCAAGCCCAGCCTTTTCGTCCTTCAGGTGAAGTGCAGGGTTACAGGCTTGCGGCCGGACTGGCTGGGCGTCCCCCCAGAGCCACCACTGTCACCGTGTGGACACGGGCAGTTACTTAAGCTCCCGGGCCTCAGTGCACCCAGAGGGAAAGGGGGCCCGGGGCCCCCAAGAGGGACTGAGTTCACCCCGTGAGGCTCCTGGCGAGGGCCTGGCAGGAAGTGTGAGCTGTGGCTGCCACTGCCATAGATGTGGAGGGAGGGGACAGATGCAAAGGAACATCACGGCAGGGACAGTCAGAGGGCTGAGGCCCAAATGAGCAAACGTTTGGGAAAACTGTGAAAGGCAAGCAGAAACCACGAGAGAATGCTTGTTGTCGGGACAGGCGCAGTGTCAGCGGGGAGGGCTGACACCCTCACTGATGAGGGGTCTGCAGCTTAGGTGTAGACGAAGAATCACCGGAGGACAGGGACCTGCGGGGAGGGACAAGGACACAGGTGGCTCAGACCAGGCGCTTCTCAGCTCTGGGCGCCATGCTGACTGCTCCACAGGGTTATTGCTCTCAGTCCTCGGAGTCACATGGCTGGCTGGTGCCCCTGCCATCCCATTTCACAGAGGAGGAAATCAGGGCTGGCCTGGCGCGTGACGTGCCCTGTCTGTCTCATGGCGGATGCCAAAGCTGGCTCTGGATTGAAGCCTGTGAATCTGGACGAATCCCATTGCCGGGCACTGAAGAGTGAGGCTGATGGGTGAGTGCTGGGCATGACTAGAGAGGCCAGCCCCGAGGGAGGTCCCAGGACTGGGTGGATGAGCAGTTTGTCATTTTGGGAACATGAAGAAGGAGGTGTCCATGGTCATGTATCAGATGCCAAATTCTTGAATGATTATTAAATAGATTACGAGCTAAGCTCAGGGAGGAGAAATAAAATGGATCCCAGTAGCTCACGACACTTCCTCTGTGATAACGTTCTAAAACCAAGAGCTTGTGTGTCCATTTCAGCAAGGCGCTGACACACGTTTCTAGAACAGCCCAAGGACAAGACGCGACACTGCAGAGCAGACGACGGGACAGTTAATCAGTGGTTTGTGCTGACCAACCATCCACGTCCCGGTACTGAATGACAGATGGACTGAAGAGCATAGCTCTGGGCCAAGTGAACATGGGGTCAGACATACAAAGTCGGACGACATCAGACAGGCAGGTGACAGCAGGGACAGAGACCCAACAGACCACGCTCCTAAGCCTGACTTCAGCCTTCCTTAGACATAAAGGACAGAACTAAAACTATGCTCTGAACCTAGGTCAGGGGAGAGGCCTGTGGAGACAGTGCCTTTAGTGGACCAATTGCCAAGAGGTCACAGTGTGCCCTGGCATGAAGAGGATGGAAAGACTTGACATGTATTTAATGGTTATGTGCTCAATGCTCTGTGCAGGTCACCCCACTTAACCTTCCCAAACTCCCTGAAAAGTGGGCACTAGTGCCTACTGTGTAGATGAAAAAACAAGTGGCTTCCCCAGGACACATCACAATAGTGGTGAACTGCCACCATCTTGAGAAGCTCATCTGCGTTAATCTTGGTCCAGTGGCCCAAACCCCCACGACAGCCCGGCAGCACAGGACCCCTGTGCTATCCCTGCCTGCTAAAGTACTGGGTTTCACAGTCACCACACTTCAGGGGGCTGTTAAAGACACAGAATGGGCCCAAGGAGGGTGGCCAGGCAAGACTAGGCCACATGAGGGATGTGGGGGAGACCAACCATCTCCTCTCCGACAGGCAACTGCAACACAGCTTCCTCTGAGCACTAAGGGGCTGCCGTGCCCATAGGAAAGGACTTACCATGTCAGGTGGAAATAAGCCCCATGGGCCGAGTGCTCAGGAAGACAGATTGGCTAATACAAAGGGAGTGTCTCGAGGCGACTGAAATGCTCTGACTCAAACTATCTGCCTCAAGAAAGCACTGAGATTCCAGGCAGAAGCCTGAAGACTATTGAGAAGTGACTGAATGCTTGGGTGTCTAGATGAAGTGAGCTGTAAGATCTCCAATCTTGCTGATGTTCTACGAACCCTTGTTATCAAGATGATTCCCTTACTGAAAAGGAGGCTGAATGTGTGACTTAACATAAGTATTGCCATGTTTGTCCACTTGGTGACCCTGGGAAACAAGCTACACTAAAAAAAATGCAGAGCAGCTGCTTGTGGTGGGAACCGGCCCTTCTCCCACAATACTAGCTGCAATTATTTAGGTTATAAAACTCCTGGGATATCAAGGACAGGCACAGACCAGCCATCTGTGCCGGTCCGAGATAAGGACCGGGAGTTACAGTGCACGTACACACACGCGATAACAGTGAGAAGGAAAAATACCAAAAGTTCCCATAGAAATGGTCTCTACGTAGAAACATGCATAAAAGCAACTCACAATTCTGCTTGGGCGAGTCTCGCCTGTGCGGGGGACGCCTTGCCCAGGACCTCTTTCCATCAGCACTCTCGCCTAGCCACGTCAATTAAAGGGACTCTCCCCGGCGTAAGGGTGTGGATGTTATAAGTACCCGATCTGATGTTTTCTCTTTTCAGTCAATCTGATGTTTCTCTTTTCGATTGATCTGATGTTATTTCCCTTCGGTCGGTCTGTTTCCCTTTTCAATCGACCTGATGTTTTTCCTTCTTGTTATTTGACCTATTCGGATCTGCTTCTATCTCGGTCGATCTGATGTTTCTCTTTTTCGATCAATCTGATATTTTTCCTCTTTTGATCAGCACTCCTGCCTAGCCGCATCAGTCAAAGGGACTCTCCCCGGCGTACGGGGGCAGATATTGTGAGTGCTGATCTGATGTTTCTCTCTCTCTCTCCCCCCTATTTCTTTCCATTGTTATTGAATTATTATTTGCTTATGCTTATGCTGTAGTATACCAGTATATATATATAGCCTATTGTCTTCCTAATAAATACATACACTATTTCTCACTAAAACTAGCATATTGGTGTCTTATTGGGCCGAAAAAGTCCATTCCATAAGCCAATCTGAACGTTGTGCCCCTTCTTCTCTCCCCTGACACAACAATGTGCCAGACCACTTTCTATTTGATCGTCCATCCATCCATCTATCCATCCATCATGAATCCATCCATCCATCCATCATCCATCCACCCATCCATCCATCATCCATCAATCTATCCTCCACCCATCTATCCACCATCCATCCATCATCCATCCACCCAACCATCCATCATCCATCAATCTATCCTC